GCACGCTTCTTTTGTTAAAGCCAGCCTCCTCTGATATTTAGGCAAAATATACATGGCTTTTGCTCCATGAGGGAGAAAACAAAGCAACTGGCAGAGCTTCTCTAGCTCTACGTCTAGGCTTCCATAGGTTTTTTTCATGCATGTCTCCATGAAGAGGCGGTCCATTCCCCACTGATACACAAGGTATTTCCCATAAGTATTTTCCTTCACTTGTCCATTCAGTAAATGTGTTCTGAACTCATGAAGAAAGCGTGGTGGCCCTAGAGTGGAACAATAAGTCATTGATCTTGCCCTCAAATAGGGTGATGTGTAGAGGACAGGAAGTCAGAACAGCAGTTAATACCCGTCCAATGAGTAAGAAGTACTCAGGCAAAGGAGAGGAGGATGCCATGAATTCTGATTAGGGAAAGAAAGTGAGGTTTCACAAGGATTATGGAGTTTGAGGAGAACCTTGAACAATTCATAGACACTCATTCAGCAAAGGAGGGGGTGGTAAAAAATAGCACACAGAAACACCCAGATCCTTTCGAGGGGGTGGTGCAATGAACTCATTCACAGACTATGGGACTCTTCTGAGTGGAGTAACGTGCTTATTTCTGATCCCTCCAAATAGTTGGTTTCTCAAAGACTCATCACTTAGGAGAAACACTGAGGCAGCACAACAACCAATAATTATCCTTGTGTGCTCCTTTGTCACACTTACCTCAGCAGAAAAATGGCTTCAAGTCTATTATCACCCCAAGATCCTCCCTCCATCCACTTATCCTTTAATATATAATTTATTCTACTCTCACAATGCATCTGGAACTATGAAGGGCACATCCTGAATGCTCCTATTTCACTTAAATTATCCAGATTGTTTTCCGTTTTCTTCTTTCCTTTAAAGGTGCAAATTGAAAATATTCTGGATAATTAGAAACTATATTAAGCCATGTCTGGAGTAATCATGGTTTTCCACAATTTTTAAAAAGGTGTGTGAAATGATAACCACGACAGGCTAGGTCTCAGGCATAATTCACAGTGGAATCTCCTCTGCTTGGTGTATGTGCCAGGTCTCCCAGTTTTATTGCCAAATCTCCACCCCTATAATGCTTCAAATCCACTCTGGGCTCCGAACATGTGGCTCATTGACACGATGCTGTATAAAGTAATTGCTACTCGAGTTCTCAACTCCACCTCCACCATGTTTTTCTTTGATTCTGAGCCGCACATAGTGACAATTTGCTACAGAATTTGTTGTTTGGCTCAAACGAGAACACTGGTCGTTTCACATCAGAAGGAGAGGTAGAGTAATGTCTTGTAATGAGATTGTAACAGATAGTAAAGAACATCACCAAGAGGACCAAGCTAGGAAGCAAGGACAGGTGCATCCATTAAGCATTTCCTAAGGACACTTCCAGAGGGATGCCAGTGGCTCAGTGTAGAATTCTTGACTTCCATGTGGGAGACCTGGGTTTTATTCCCAGCCAATGTACCTCATGCAGCCACCTCCCATCTCTCTGTCAGTGGAGGCATGCTTGTTGCTATGATGCTGAACAGGTTTCAGCAGAGCTTCCAGACTAAAATGAACTAGGAAGAAAGACCTGGAGATTTACTTCCAAAAATCAGCCTATGAAAACTCTATGGCACAGGACTGGCCAGCATTTTGTTCTGTTGTTCATGGGGTTGCAATGAGTTGGCAATGATTTGACAGCAGCTCACAACAGCAACAACATGAAGACTTCCTGCAACCAACAACTGAAATGTTACTCAGGTGGCTTTGAAGTCAGTTCATTTCAAGTCAGCAAATTTTCCTTGCCTCCAGCCTCCAGACCAGACACTGTGCCAGGCTCTGAAAGCTAGAGATGAGTGAGGGCTCATTCTTGTCCTCAAGAAACTTATGGTCTATGGGGCAAAACATTTATAAATGAAGTTCAGGAAGGCCAGGTAACTTGTTCAAAGTCACACAGTAAGTGACTGATCCAGGATTTGAACCTAAGTCTGTTTCATTTCAAAGCCTCTCTATTTTCAACTGTGCCACATTGCATTCTCTTATTACATTTCAATGTCATTATTTACAATTGCTTTCCAAGTTGCAACTGCTGAAATTTAGCTCCATCTAGACTTAATAGGTAGATGATTATCAGAGACATAAATCAAGGTGTAAAAGTATATTATAAATGTTGAAAATATTCACGTGTATTAAATATATTTTATATACATATACAAGTGAAATGGTTATCTGAGTGATGTTTATTATGTTTTTATATTGTTCTGTATTTTTTAATGTTCTACAATGAAATTGTATTACTTTATGTTTTGAAAAGTTATTTTTAAAGTAAAATAAAATATATGTTGAAATGTTTTTGAGACCAAAAAGTGCTAATAAGTAACAGCTACCAAATTCATTGCAATGTAATATAAACCCTCAAGTGCCACGGATTAGGTTAAAACCTCCCTTAGTCAGTCTACCTTGATGGTTGACGAGGTTAAATGTACCAGAATGTGGGTGCTCCTCAGAGCTCAGCAAGACTGTGATTATGAAGACCGTTCTATCTCAGATTTGGAGAGTCCATCTTTGCCCAGCTTGATCTGAGGGTGCCGAACAGTTGAGGCCAAAGCTTCATCAGGCATCACAGTGTCTAGAAAGGTGAAAGTCTCTCGTTTCTTCTAGAAATGCACAACTGTACCATTCACATCTGTTATTAGACACCATTCCTCAGGGAGTCCTGGTAGGAATTTGTTTTTTTATAACATTAAGTATGTGAATATTGGCCCCAGCTCCTTGAGCAGATGAACAATCGTAAATTAACTGCTGGGCTGAGGCTCCCTGGAACTTCATGCTGGATGTAAGGCTTCCTTTGCCTTCTTATAAATAGATCCCTGCTAAGTGCCTTCTCTTCTTATCTCAATCGGGCCTATCAACTTCCTCTCACAGACTTACTGATCTTTGACCAACCCTTGTGTATAGAAGAAAAATAAATCCCATCCGTTGGAAACGGGAGCAGGTCAGGAGATCGAGGCTGATGATAGAAACTTCAAGGAATGTAGGCCTAGCTGCTGAGACTTCACAATTAACATTTATCAAGGGACTGAAGAAGTATATTCCTAACTTAATGCAAGGATCTTTCCAGACATCTATTGTATTGCTACATGTTTCAAGCAGTGTGCTTTGTAGCTGTGAGGCAAAATAATATTTTATAATATGTTGTGATTTCAAAGGTGTACTCATTTTCACTATTACCTCATTTAATCATCACAGTAGCCCTATGGAAAGATATTATTATCTACTTTGCAACAAGGCAGAGCCCTGACTGCATAGTGGTTAAGTGCTATGGCGGCAGTTCAAATCTACCAGCTTCTCCTTGGAAACCCTATGGGGAAGTTCTACTATGACCTGTACGGTCACTATGAGTCAGAATCAACTTGATGGCAATGGGTTTGTTCGTTTGCAACAAGAAAGCCAAGCTTAGAAAGGCTAAGTGGTGAGTCCAAGATCTTAAGACCAGGACTCAATTCCAGGTCTTTTGCCTCCAAATGCTATACAATTTCCACCATTTTTCTGTAACTAAAATTTTGACCCGATTATGGAAGCTCCATAGACACTTCCAAACTCCCTGAGGGACTGAAATGCTGGGCAGAGGGCTGTGGGGACCGTGGTCTCGGGGAACATCTAGCTCATTTGGCATAACACAGTTGCTTAAGACAATGTTCTACATTCTACCTTGGTGAGTAGTGTCTGGGGTCTTAAAAGCCTGTGAGCAGCCATCTAAGATACTCCACTGGTCTCACCCCTTCGAGAGCAAGAGACAATGAAGAAAACAAGATACAAGGAAAAGATTAGTCCAAAGGACTAACGGACCACAACTACCACAGCCTCCACCAGACTTCAGTCCAGTACAGCTAGATGGTGCCCAGCTACCGCCACTGACTGCTCTGACCGGGATCACAACAGCGGGTTCCAGACAGAGCTGGAGTAAAATGTAGAACAAAATTCTAACTCACAAAAAAAGACTAGACTTAGTGGCCAGACAGAGACTGGAGAAACCCCGAGAGTATGACCCCCAGACATCCTTCTAGCTCAGTAATGAAGTCACTCCCAAGGTTCACCATTCAGCCAAAGATTAGACAGCCCCATAAAACAAAACAAGACTAATGGGGCACAACAGTCCAGGGACAAGGACTAGAAGGCAGGAGAGAACAGGAAAGCTGGTAATAGGGAACCCAAGTTTGAGAAGGGACAATGTTGACATCTCATGGGGTTGTTAACCATTGTCATAAAACAATATGTGTACTGTTTAATGAAAAACTATTTGTTCTGTAAACCTGCATCTAAAGTACAATAAAAAATAAAAAATTAAATTAAAAAAAAATTTGACCAGGCTCACAGAATGATAAATATAGAACAGGAATGATGCTTCTTATAATGAAGCCATCTACTACAAAAAGGAGAAGAAGGGGCTCAAAAGAAACTCATACCTATTGAGTTTCTACTCTGTGCTGGCTGTTCACCATGCACTATCTCATTTAAACATCATCGCTTTCTTCCATATGACCAAAAAGAACCTGCAATTAAGCATTGAATTACTTCTCCAAAGTCACATAGTTCGTAAGTAGCAAAACTGGACTGAGAACCCCAATCTTTCTGACCTGCAAACCCATGATCTTCTCACACTTCACATCTCACTATGTGAACTCACAATGTGTTTATGCACACGGTAAATTTTAAAAGGCAAATGGCAAATAAAAGTTGTCTGTTTTGGAAAGACTAATGTTCTTGAGGAAGAAAGTCCTGGTGATCTACTTCTGAAAACCCAGCCACTGAAAACCCTCTGGAGCAGAGTTCTCTGATACATATCGGGTTGCCATAAATCAGTGTCAGAACTGACTTCACAGCAATGGGTTTGTTTTTTTGGTTTCAGTGTTCTTAAGGACACAAACATACACATCCTTTCTTTCCCTTGAGCTGCCAGCATCGTTTTCTGTGTGACACTGTTGACATGGTCTTTGCTCCCTTGTAGGATGCGTGGTGGTGGTGTCTGTCATTGAACAGCTTGCTCAGGTCCGCAACTCTACAGCCCAGGCTGCCATGGAGAGACTGTGCAGCTACCTGCCTGGTAAGTACAGAAAGGGTCACTCAGTGGTGGGCTTGCTTTTCCTCTCACTCATGAGACATAATGAGTGAATCTGTATCCTGTATGCGCTGATGGAGGAGAGTCTCCTTGTGTTATTTCTGTGACTTGATATTGTTATGGGGCTCATAAAAATTTTAAAAACAAAATACTCTAGGCATTTCCTCTCTGCCATTCATTTTCCATTGTGACAGAAGAAAATCGTTGTGGACATTTAGGGAATAAAATGTTGAATGTTCAATTGTTTTATGTGTCACATTCATTACGATTTTACCATCTGGTGATCATTGTCTTAAGTACTATGAAGGGCAAAATAATGAATAATTTTCAATGATTTTATTTGAACTTGACCACATATGCATGCACAGATGCACACACGTCCATAACAGCACAGAGCATTAGGCTAGGAAGACACCTGATCTCAAACTCTCAAATGGGAAAATAATCTCGAAAATTATGTTTATTTTACCTGGAACTCAATGAATTGGATATGGCAAAAAAGGAACTGATTGGTGGTTCCAACAAGTATTGTATTTGTTTTTTGCTCTCAACAGAAAGAAAATATTAATTCTATTTCCCCTATATAATACTGTTATGTAAAAAGTCATAGTGAATAAAATTCTTTGAGAGTCAAATTTTCATTCACTTGATGGGACCTAATTAGTTAAGGATGCCAACATTACTTTTTCTGCTAAGTCAGGTAGTTGGACCAATGGCTATTATACCTTTGATTTGTATAAAACACTGGGCAATAGCACCATAGTATTTTCAGAGAATTTATTGCATAGTCATGATATGCATTCACAGGCTGATTTTTTTTGCAATGAAAAACTAAAGACTAGGAGATAATAATGTATAAACACATAAGAGAGCCCCGGTGGCTCAGTGGTTAAGTGCTTGGCTGCTAACTGAAAGGTCGGCGGTTCAAACCAACCAGCTACTACGCAGGAGAAAGACCTGGCAGTCTGCTCTCCTAAAGATGACAGCTTACGAAACCCTAGGGGGCAGTTTTACTTTGTCCTAGAGGGTCACTATGAGTCAGAATCTACTCAATGGCAACAAGTTTGGTTTTTATTTTTTTTATGTTTACAATGCCCCCAAACTGACCATTGATTGCTAAGATTTTGACATGTTTGCGTCAAGTCTTTCTTCTATGGATTTCAAACCTGGCAGATAAACTTGAAACACCCCTTGGCCTCCCCTCACCCCAAGTTTCACTCTCCTCCTGCCTCCCTAGAGACAACCGCTATCATGAATTTAATGAGTATCGTGTGTCAAGTTTTATACTTTGACATTCACGTCTATGACCTTTATAAACAATGTATGGTATTCCTTTGTGGGTTTTTTTTTTTTTTTTTTTAACTTTTCTTGGTAAAACAAAACAAGATCTAGAAAACCACACAAAACAAATGTATTGTTCCATCGGTTATTAAAAGGTAAAACCAGAACAGTTGCCACCAAGTAAATTTTGGCTCAATGTGACCCCATGTGCATCAGAGTAGAACTCTGCTCTACAGGGTTTGCAATGGCTGATTTTTCAGAAACAGATTGCCAAGTCTGTTTTCTGAGGCACCTCTGGGTAGACTCAAACCTCCAACCTTTTGGTTTACAGCCAGGCGTGTTAACCATTTGTGCCACCCAGGGATCTATTAAAAGGTGAACACCCTTGTAAACATAGCCCAGGTCAAGAAAGAAAACTCTGCCAGCCCCTGCAGAAGACCTGTCCATCACAACTCTCCTCCCCCCGAAAATAACAACATCCTAAATTTTATGGTAATCATTTTCTTGCATGTCTCTAAAGTTTCCTCACCATTTGGGCCTCCCTGGACACAGTAGTTATTCTTGTCCAATTTTTAAAACTTGGATGGCTCTTTTAATCTACAAGTTTCCTCTCCATCCCTCCATTTTTCTTACAATTAAGCTGTGGAATTTGACTTACAGAGTTTCCCACAGTCTGAGTTTTGTTGATTGCAACTCTTTGGTGTAATGGAATCTGTTTCTCCATGCTCTGTTTTTCCTGACAACTGGCATCTGCAACCAAAGGCTTAATCGGTCTCCAGTTTGATTCCTTTCATCAGACTATGATTGGAGGTGTTTTCTTTCATCCGAAGGCCATCCATCATAAGTGGTTTTCTCTTTTTGGGGGGAGGCGGGAGGAGGAAAGATGTTAGCAGCTATTCATGCTTGATGGCTATTGTTGGATACCCTCAAGTCAATTCCGATTCATAGCGACCCTCGTGACAGAATAGAACTACCCCATAAGGTTTTCTAGGTTGCAGTCTTTAGGGAAGCAGATCGCCAGGTCTTTCTCTCTTAGAGCCACTGGGTGGACCGGAATTGCCAACTTTTCAGTTAGCAGCCAAGCGCTTAACCACTGTGCCACCAGTGCTCCTTAATTCATTGGGTATTGCAAAATGATGATATTCTAACCTATTATTTCTTTTTCGTTTATTAGTTGAAATCCATTAGAAACACCTTCCCTCATCTGCTGTTGGTCACCCAGTGGTACTCTTCATACAGAAAAGGCAGGATAAATGCTTGATTCTTTCCCTGTATTTACCAGTTTTCAAAATAACGTCGTGGTTTCCTATCGTCTTCCTAAGGTGATCAATTAGTTTTTTTTAATATCTTTATGAAATCATGAATTTAAACATATTTGATGGTTTCAGTCAATTGTAATTATTAGTCTTTTTGAAGCTTCAATTGTCCCATCTTTGTCCAGTGGAAGCCTCTTCAAGTTGGATCCTGAGTTCTTTTGACATGACCCTACGTCATCTTTGGTAATTTCCTTATTAACTGTTATGACAAGGTGTTCCAGCCCTGTTTTGTACATTTCCGTTCCCAGGTTTGACATCAATCATTTCTCTAAGAGCCTTGGTTTGTTTTAGTGAGAAATAGTATTTCTAGACTACCGTCTAGGGGCTCAGGGATGTTATTGGTACTAAGTTGGTCAATCTAGGTGAGACTGAGAGGAAGTATGTGTTTTGACATTTACATATACAATTCTTAAGATAAAATATGTAAAGAGTTCATACTGACACTTGAAATTTAAAATCGGAACTACAAGATTTTTTCCTTAATCTCTTCTGTATCATATCTATATGTCCTCTTTCCACACTGAAAGACCTAGTTCTCAAGGACAAAGGGATTGACAGAATTAGTATATTCCATTAATACTCATTTACCTATTGCTCATTACATACACAACAGTCTCAGAATTACAATTCTGATACTACCAGTATCAATAAAATTTATAATTATTGAGAGAGTTAAAATTATTTTTTGTGTAAGTGTTTCCCATTTTGCCCTCATTTTTAATAGTTGTACTATATTATATGAGGAACCCTGGTGGCACAGTAGTTAAGAGCTTGGCTGCTAATCAAAAGGTAGGCAGTTCAAATCCACCAGCAGCTCCTTGGAAATGCTATGGGGCAGTTCTAGTCTGACCTATAGGGTCACTATGAGTCGGAATTCACTCAATGGCAACGGGTTTGGTTTTTTTGGTTTATGTTTTCTGAGCATACAGCATTACATACAAGACTCATTCCCTTTAGACTTAGTTCTACCAGCAACTATATGATTAATGTTCACCACCGGCCCTTAGGTAGATGTCTCTCTAGGCAGTGTCGTCTGAGGCTCTTTCCTTGAAGGATTCATGGAGACAATATTTCCTGAACTCGTGCATGTTTGATAACAGACAGTCTGAGTCTAGTATACCCTTTATACTTGAAAGTCAATGTTTTTCTGGATATAAAATCCTTGGCACACATTTCTTTCCCTGAGTATTTTAAATATGCTACTAGAAAGTCTAATGGTAATCTAATTTTCTTTTTCTTATATGTCACTTACTGTTTTTGTCCAAAGCATTTTTTTTCATTTTCTATAAAGTTGAGTAATTTAACTTGAATACATCTCATTGTTTATAGTTCTGAATTGATATTCTCAAGCATGCAGTGTGACCTCTCAATATATGTGGTTTCAAATATATATATGTGTGTGTGTGTATTTTTAATATATATATTTTTTAATTTCAGGAATGTTTTCTTGATTAAAATTTGTATTCAATCCTGTTTCCTTGATTTGGTTTTATTCTTCAGGAAAATCTACTACCCACATTTCCAATCTTCTTTGCCTGTCTTCAATATTTTGCCTATTGTTTTAATACTTTTCTTTTTTCATTCTTTTTTGATCTTAAAAATCTTCTTTTTGCCTTTTGTTCTCGTTAGTCATTGTATTTTGTATTCACTTCTTCTTGTGTTCATTGTGGTTTAGTCTTCTTTTCTAAAATAATTTTTAATTCTTCCCTGAGTTCTCATATTCCATGTCTGAATTTTTCTAATTCTGATCTATGCCATCCTTTTATGTCTTGTATAATTTTATTAATGCCTCTTAGCTCATTTTTAAATAGTGTGTTATGTTTAAATCTTTTTTGTTTGTTTTTTGGCATAACTTCTGGCATGCTTTTGCTATCTGTGGGGATGCTATTCTGTTCTTTCTTCCTTTTTTCCTTATAATAACTTTGCATGGGAGTTGACCTAGATACATTTCTATTGCTCATTTTTATGTGAAATGAGTTTTCCCAAACTCTTAGAAAGGGAAGTAGCTTAGGGTAGTTTTTCTAAATGCACATAGCTCCTTCTTCTGTTGTTTTTGTGTAGTGTTTTAAAATATGGCATTTAAGAGAATGGAAAACAAACCACAGACTGGGATAGAACATTTGCAAAAAATATATCTGATAAAAGACTGTATCCAAAGTATACAAAGAACTCTTAAAACTCAACAGTAAGAAGACAAACAGCCCAATGACCAAATGGGCAAAAGTTCTAAAGAGCTGCCTCACTAAAGAAGATATGTGATGGCAGATAAGCGTATGAAAACATGCTCAGTCTCATATGTTGTTAGAGAATTGCAAATTAAAATGGCAATAAGATATCACTACACATGTGGCTAAAATACAAAACACTGACAACACAAATGCTGGTGAG